CTGGACGCGCCTCGCGGCTGTTACTCACAGACAACGCACGCTGCGCACGCACACACTACAGTAATAACCGCCGTATAAGAACATAGATTTAAGAACATGTTAGGCTAAAATTTCCCATTTAGACCCCTTTACATAAGAATCTGTTTTAGGCTTAAGATTTTAAAGTAGGTTCTTAATTTTCCATGCAGATGAAGACTTAAAAAGAAACGCAGGTAAAATAAAAAAGACGAGCTCAACAATATCCGATGAATGTGCCAGCACCCTGGCATGTTTATTAAGACACAGTACTGCATTATTTATATATATTCTGCCAAATGTAAAATATTATCAAACAAGGATACAAGCGTCTCTTCAGTGAAACATCAGTTCTTGTCAGCACTATGAGAAATAAGCAGATGTATTGTTTCCACATTAGAGTAGGCCTGTTGTATGTCCATTCAGAATCCAATAGACCAGCAGATGTATTGTTTTGTTAAATAAAAACAATCACGAGCTGCTGTTGAATGCAGGTTAGCACTTTCTAATGTCACTAATACTGAGTTCTTCGGCAAATTCTTTGGTTTGAAGTTTCCTTGTGAACCTCTTCAAGTAACCCCTATTTCCAACCAACCTATAATCAACAGGGATTTCAAGGCCCCTCCCTTGGCCAGCATTGTAGCGATTGCCAATACATTCTGCCTCAATTTCCCCATAATCGTCTAGGAATTTGTAATATAAGTTGGAAAGTTCAATTGGGACATGTCCGACCATTTCACCATCTTGGTTCTTCACAGCAACTGCATATTTGTCGTTGTCATTGTCTCTTTCAATCAAAGCACTGAAAATCTTACACTGTAGCCCATCATGGGTATTAATTAGCAAAAATTGCAGTTCTTGTAAGAAAATTTTAACCAATTCTGAACCGGCACTTTTTCCCCTCATATTACGCTGAAATACTACGGTTATCGCAACGGCTGCTTAGACAAACTTGTAAACGGGAGCGCATTCTAATATGCTCCGTTCCTGAGCGTAGACAGGGTATCCAAAACATCTAAAGCCGAGGGCATGAACTCCCTGAATGCATGATTCGCCACACGAACAAAACCTCGTGACAGTCTAAGAAATCGATTGCGGCATGACCCCAGTGTTTTTATGACCGCATAACAATAAGTTCATATGTCGCAGGGGTTATCGTGGGGAATGAGGGCACAACCAGTGATACCTGACACGCACGTAATCAAAGCTGTTCACTGAATTCGTCACTTTTCTTTACGTAGAAAGTGGACTATTTTTATTCAATTAGATATCTAGAAGCAATGTAAACTGTATCAAGATTCTATAGGCACTTGTAACTTTGCGGATGTGCGGCAGCATTGATCTATGCATGGGGGTACCGTGGACTGGGGAGGAGAAAAACGAAAGTAAAACCTTTCCCACAAGCTCCCCCGACATACCTAGAGCTTCAGATATATTGTTTGACCAACTCTAAGTTACATGTATGCTGTTAATGCAAATGGTTATTTTTGTATACTATTTTGTTACTCACTGCTAGTAAATAAGCAGACCACCAACTTTTGTGCAGGACCACCAACTATCTGAAGTTGGTGGTCCTGCTGTCCACTAGATTTTCAGCCAAAATTTGAACGCTGAGCGCATGACACATCTCTATACATGCACCTATACTCCTGTATGCCCTATAGAATCTGCTCAGGTCTGTATCACACAAAAACACGTCTAAAACCAGAACCAGAAATGATGCCAGAAGCGTCTCGCGTACCGACATCGACGGAGCTTCCGTCCTCGTGCTCCTGGCGCCCCCTACTGGCTGCGTTACATTGATGGGCGCGTCGCCGCCACACGCCGGTTGCCCGTTTTGCTCGCACGACTCGCCGCCCGACCGGCTCGACCACTCGCCAGAGCGCGCCGCCGGGCCGCCGGAGACGGGCGGTGGGCCCGAGCCACACAGCGGTGCGGCGCCGTTCGCCCGCCAGGGAGCGCTGGTGGGCGGTGCGTCGTCGGCGACATTGAGTCGGTTCATCTGCTGCTCGAAGCCCATGTAGTTTGCGACGGTGTTCGGCGGCGGCGGTGGCGGTGGCGGCTGCCAACCACGCTCTTCCTCCTGCAGCATCTCGTCCAGGCAGTGCTCCATGAACTCCTGCTCCCAGAGCTCATCTATAACCTGAACAAGTAAATGACACAACTCGTACAACATGAACAAGTGAACGACGCAACTCGTACGACATGACTCGTACGACAAGAACAAGTGAACGACATGACTCGTGAGACATGAACAACCGAACGATGCGAGATGCCAAATTTTATTGAGGTTGGTTTTGTTTTTCTTTCATTCTCACAGCTCCTCTACGACCTAAACAAGTGAACAGAGATAAACTTTTATTTTTTTAAATCAATTTTAATTTAATTTCAATTCTCAGATCGCCTCTGTAACCTTAACAAGTGAATGACACGAAAGACCAAACATTTCAGTCAACATTTCTTTTACGTAAATCCATTTTAATTGAGGTTGTTTTTTGGTTTGGCTGTGAGAAGGACAGTGTCGAATTAGGTTTATTTGGAAATTTTGGGTACCAAGGCGAACACTATCATTCAAAAGTGTAACAGAGGCAACTTGGTTTTAACAACACTTTTACGTGGGACAGGAGGGATACGTACACAACATGGAACTAACATGAAGGGCAAGGAGGCAAACCAGGCAACTAGCAGCAAATGCTGTGAAACTGTGCAATTGTAGCGCCTATTTTTTGCCTATAGTGCAGTTTCCATTGGATCATGCACAGAAAACTTGATAAGAATTGCTTGTGTAATCTTGTGTAATTTTACGGAACGTTTAGGTAATAAAGCCAGGTTTTTAGCTTCCAACATGCAAAACTCTACTCGTTTGGCAACACGACTTGCACATAAGTGATGAAGAGGAACTGGCGGTGTCTCACCTGTCGATCAAAGTTCTCCATGTCTTCCATCCACATGAAATCAGAGAAGTCGTCCGAGCGGGAGTTGTGCGGGTGTGGAAAGTGAGCCATGTCTGCAGACACATTAGCATCAACAGGACACTTCATGTCTGTGGAGAGACAGAGATACAGAGTGCGAAATTAATGCGAGTCCGGAGTCAAATACTCCCCGATTTACTGTCGGACTCATTGATTTGACATATACAGGAGTCCGTGTCACTCCCTGAAAATTCTGCTATATAGTAACTAGTTGGTTCCAGAGCATGGCCTCAAGGAATTGCCATATTTTTCCAGCAAATGTCCAAAGAAAATTTGGCAGACGTGCAACCGCATGAATCTTCAAAATAAGCACATGCGTTATTGGTAATATCTTTAGTTTTGAACTTCAGACTGCGGACTCCCTCTTTTTGAGGGCAGGGAGTCCGTTGGACTCCCTTTTTCAAAAGTTAATTTCTACCCCTGGAGATAGATGGAAGGCTAGAAATAGATAAGACCATTGCTAGGGTACGAAATACGCAGAGAAAATTTTTTGGACACCATAAAGTAACCCAGCATAGACAAGACTGAGCACGCATAGATAGTTCTATGTATATACAAACACATCTATGCATATATAGATGTGTCTATTCATATATAGATAGGTCAATCTATACATATATAGACCTGTCTAGGCATAGTTACATTACAGTACATAGAAAAATGCAAACAAGAGAATTAGTAGATCAGTCAGATTGTCCATGTGATTAGCGAAATGTGTACTGCTAGCACCTACCACCACATCTGTTTCTACCACTGCAAGCAAATGGTAGAACGACCATAAAGTTACGATTACTGCTTCAATATGAGATTTTGGGTCTGGAAAAAATTCTGAGTGTTTACACAAATACATAACTCCATCATGACAGCATCACCTATACACCGATATATGAAGGTTCTGCAAGTGCTAATAACACGTTGTGAACCAGTATTTTCAGTAACAAAGGGATGTGTTACTATATCCAGCAATTCCTGCAAATTAAATGTGTACACAATGTAAAGAAATACTATTAGTATTACTAACACTAACGCTCAAGGGGTCGTTGTCGTAACAGGTACTACAGATATGTACCCGAGGTACATATATGTATACACAAAGTGTACCAGACTTGTACTACAGAAGTGTACCCTAACCCTAACACTAACCCTAATCCTAACCCTAACTCTAACCCTAACCCTAAACATACCTCATATAAAAATATAAAGATAATACTAAACAACCTAAAACTACTTCGGGTACATATCTGTAGTACCTGTTACCACAACGACCCTTCGTGCAACACTAACACGTCACATGTATCAATACCATTACCATTAATTATATAGTCAAGACGCAGAGTGACGATTTTTTTAAGAATTGACACTTGCGTTTCAAAACTTTTAAGAATTGACACTTGCGTTTCAACACTCGAATTAGAGGCGACGTTTATCCCTTTGTTTTCTAGATGAACCCCGCACTCGTTGATTCGGGTGCCTTGTCACAAGGCTTGTGAAATACAAGAGAAGGAACCAGATACAAGATACAAGATACAACACCGTCACTAACAGTAACAACAAACATAATTTTACATCGACGAGGATTAAACTAACGACTCAATTAACTAGTTTACACGATTCTGTTACGCGAAAGAATGTGTAAAGGGTGAAAATGACAATTATATGTGAAAACATGCCATGATGATGAAATAACAAGTGGTGATGGCGATGGTGAATGTCAATCAATGTACTGCTAGTTCCGATGACAATGCAGGAAGGCGGTTAGATGCACAGTAACCTACTTTCTCGTACAACTATACACCTCGGAGACACATATTTATGTCACTAAATAATAGTAGATATAATTCTGAGCAAATTAGCACATTAATTTCGCACAAAATTCCATTTTAGTTTCAAAATCGCATACCTACTTTGTTTACGACAAATATTGACCTGGATATTACAGGGTCACCACGAGGAGCGCTGTTAGTCATTGTCAACGACGTCGCGTCCACTGCTGCGTATGTTTTAGTTTTATTTCAGTAACTTTTATGAAGTAGACATTGCACTATCATTTTTTCGAAAATACTGCTCATGATTTTAGTTCTTATCATTACAATACAAGCGAGAGAATTTCAACATAGTAAAAAATTCCATTAAAAAATAAAAATTCAATGAAAGTCAGACGAGCACGTCAAACAATACATACAATGGTTATATTCTCTTATAAGTGCGAGTAAATTTTTTTAAATAACTCAATACAATTTTATTACAACAAAACAACAATAATCAATATTATGCGCAACGCAAAACAACAGAAAGTCCAACAACAACTAAGAAAATTAGGCACACAAGACTAGAGAGAGTAAAATCCAAGATCCTACCAAGAGCGAATAAAACAAGCCTGTTTTTTTACTCACTCCTGATCATGTAAACCCCTGTACCGTAGTATTTGGACGCTCGCCCATGATTTATTTGCTCTGCTACGGTACACGGGCGGTAGGCCTACACCCCTAACGTTAATGATTACCGCTCCTAATCGTAACGGCCGCTAAAGGGCCTACTCACCAGAGTGTAGCCGTGCGGAATATAACGACTGTATTATACAGGTTAGTAAACCCGCAAATGAAGTAAGGTGTTATATGCTTTTGTTAAAATCCAATAGTAGTCTTATCCCGTTCACATCGGGTCACATAAACATATCTCTACACACGATCGAGTGGACTTGATTTGATAATGATCATGCATGTATATTCATGACAATTAAGCTCTAAAGATCTAGGAGACTTCGGTACCGCTTTTTTCTCATGCAAACCGGATCAAAGAAAGGTGGAAGAAAACTGGCAAATGCTGAAAGGCAAAATCGAACAAACAATGAACAAATACATACGAACCAAAATAGTGAAGGGACGTCATAAGAATACACCCTGGCACAACAAGAGACTAGCACGGCTAAAACGGAAACTGAAACGAAGACACACACGCTCAAAGAAATCTGAGAACTCCAAGGACCTTGAAATATACAAAAAACACACACACAAGACCTACCAAAGGGAATGTAGGAGAGCACATGATGAGTACTTGTACAACATACTATCTCTATCGGTTGACACAACCTCCAAGACGTTCTGGAGGTACATTAAAAGTAAGAAGCAAGAATACCTAAGGGTTGACCCTCTGAAATCTTTAGGAAAGATAAATACGACTGCCAAGGAGAAAGCAAACACACTTAATAACCAATTCAAATCAGTCTTTACTGAGAAAAACTTAAGTTGCATGCCTGGTAAAAAAGGGTCCAACATACCTGACATGCCAGGCATAGCCGTCACGGAGAAGGGCGTACGGAAACTCATCCGAGACATAAAACCACACAAGGCTTCAGGTCCAGATCAAATTCCAGCAAGAATAATGAAAATTGCAGTTCCTGTCCTGTCGCCCATCCTTTCATTCATCTACCAACAATCTCTCGATACTGGACAGCTTCCCAAAGATTGGACAATGGCTAACATCACACCAGTTTTTAAGAAGGGCAATAGGAGCGTCCCGAGCAACTATCGTCCTGTTTCGCTTACATCAATATCTAGCAAGATATTTGAACATATCATAAATAGCCAAGTCAGAAATCACCTCGAAGGAAAAAAATTACTAAATGAAAACCAGCATGGCTTCCGTAGTAATCGATGCTGTGAGAGCCAGCTGCTGATAAGAATTCAGGACCTTGCAACCAGCATTAACAACAGGAAGCAGACGGATGTAATAATACTGGACTTTAGTAAAGCCTTAGACAAGGTCCCACACCAACGCCTTCTTTAGAAGCTTGACCATTACGGTATCCGTGGAAAGCTTTTACGCTGGATAGCAGCTTTCTCACCCAGCGTACCCAGCGTGTAGTTGTAAAAGGAGACTTCTCTGACTGGACTGCTGTCACTTCAGGAGTTCCACAAGGAACGGTACTAGGCCCACTCCTATTCCTCCTCTTCATTAACAACTTGCCAGACAACATTGCTTCCCAAACTCGATTATTCGCAGATGATTGTCTGTAGTACCGCGAGATTAGCAACCAGCAAGACCAGGAAGCGCTTCAAGACGATCTTGACAAGCTGGTACAATGGACATCGACATGGCAGATGGAGTTTAACGCAAGCAAGTGCTACATCATGAATAACTCCCTTCTGCGCAAAAAAACATCATAAGTGCATCTACCACATTCACAACTCTTCACTGCAGTATGTCACATTCAACCCTTATCTTGGAGTTCACCTAGACAGTGGCCTCAGGTGGAACGTCCACATTGACAACATATGTGTGAAGGCCAACAGATTGTTAGACTTCCTGCGCCAAAATCTGAGCTGCAGCCATCAACGCATTAAGGAAAGAGCGTACAAAACTCTTGTACTACCAAGCCAGGATTACTGCTCATCAGTGTTGGACCCACACCAAGAGAAATATAAATATAAGCTAGAAATGATACAAAACAGATCTGCAAGATTTGTTACAAACACCTATGGGCGATATAGCAGTACGTCAGCTCTTAAGGACCAACTCGGATGGCAACAACTTATGTATCGTAGACGCTTTAACTCGAGTGTAGTGATGTATAAGGTTGTAAACCACCTCATAGCAATACCGGCGAATAGATATCTGATCCCGGGGATGTCAGGTACCAGATCGAAAACCCCCCACAAATTTCGGCACCTGCACTGCAACAACAACGCATTCAAATTCTCCTTTTTTCCCCGGATGATTCCAATCTGGAACAACCTACCCGTGGGTGTTGTGGAAGCAACGGACGTTGCCATTTTTAAGTCAAGGCTTCACTCCCCCATGCACGCGAAGTCGCGAACCCACTTTAAGAGGACACCAGTTGCATTTCACTCACATCATCATTATGCACCTGTTTGTTTATTGGGTTTATCCCTGAAGGCCATTACTACCTTGTCGGTGTAGGTAAGGTAAGGTACGGTAAGGTACCGGCTCTACCTTGCCGGTAACCATTACTACCTTGTCATTACATCCAGTGTAGTGGACACCGACAAGTACGAGAACATAACATAACATAACAATTGGGATCTCGCCTTCTTACCTATCAAATAACTACAGTCACGATTAAGATCGTTTGTGTGTCTATTATTATCATTTATCATGAAATATATACACGCACTATATATAGTATGTCACCTATACTAGTCTATAGGCCTATATGATGACATATCTCGATTTGTCTATAATTATTTCATATTATTTAATTATTACGTAACACATGCCAATAATTAGGTATATATGTAACCACAACTTAGGTGATTACTACACTATAAATCAATAAAACAAGTAAATAAATAAATGAAATGGTTTTATGGGTCTATAAACTGAATTTTTGTACTAGTGCCTGACGCGGTGGTTGACACGTTATATTCTATAGCACTCAGATAATGCACAGCGCGCGCAGCACACACACGCACGCACGCACGCACGCACCCCATCGGTCACGGCGCTTACTCGTGTGGATAGAGATGTATAGATGACTATGGCTAGTATTTTGCTGCTGTGGTTAATTACGCGGGTGGTTTTTAACACGTTTTGAGGTGCGCGCATGCGCAATTAGACTAATATAGGCCTATCGCACTCAATTAGTGTTCGAGCGAAGGAGTGGAAACCAATATTAGGCTGCACCATGCCGTGGCTTTGTTGTTGTGGAATTAAGGAGACCCACGACGAATCTAAGCCCAAACTCCCAATTCCTAAAGAAACTGAAAGAAAACCAACGGAATCGCGTACAAAAGCGCAATTGTTCTATACGTTATGCATTTCAGGAGGCGGCCACCAGAGAGACACTCGAATAAAAAGAATCGAGTATCATAGAGACATTATTGACTCGGAAAGTAGTTTACTAGGTAGACGTGGGCATTTAAATAATTTACGTATCAAAGCAATTCTGGATGATTAGCTAAGCTCTCTCACGGGTAGAAAGAAACGAAGGTTCAATTATTTTCGATTCATGCAATAATCTGTCTTATTAGATTAAAATCTGAATTATTCAGCAATAGTCTGAACGCAAATCTAGGTTCGCCAACGTTATGTCATAGCGCTGATCAGCTGCACACCGTTACTATACATGTGTGACTCATTTACAATAACTCTAGCTACTAATGAACGATAATTAACCCGCACACGTCTAATTAACACGCGCAGATTCTGCGATTCAAGTTCATTAACGTCATTACTTCCTTCCGAGGAATATCAAAGTTAGCATATCGTTCATCGGAAGCATAGTCTCTGTGCAGAGTGTGGTCAAAGACCCTATATACGGTGTTTCGTGTGGTATATAGGGTGGCTCGCTTAGGAGCGCCGCGCCTGGAGATAGATAGCGAGTATCAAGGCTCGCCATCTAGCCCGCGGAGAGAGCTATTCCTTCAGCTTGATCTATCGCGTTGATATCCCCGATCAAGATAAGATTTCTAACAAAAGAGAAGACTGAAGGCACGATTTCGGATCCGCAGGAGAAAGCATAGTGGACATAAATAAAACCAATTTCTGCCCCAATTAAGTTACCATAATCCGTTTAGACATCCGCAATAACAAAGGTGTGTGGACGAATAAAAAGTGATAGTGTAAAATGGTTAAAAGTTTGTCATGCGCTTGAAAGAAATTATAGTAGGCCTAAGTCGACCGGTTTTAGGAGATCTACTCATTCATTCGCTCTCCGAGGCGCCATCCAAAACCTAACCGAATATGTTTGAATGATCGATTTCAACCGGCCTAATAATTTGCAATCGGGTGAAAGCTGAAGGAGCTTCTCGGAATTACTCGATACGATAGAGTTAGCTACGGCCGTGACGCGTATCCTCATTGAGTCATCAAGAATAGTGGGTCGTCACAACGCAAGGTATTCCACATGCATCAGAGCGAAAATTATCGTTCCGCGTGTTAAGTGAAAATGTGTGTATATTCATACTAGCTAAA